ACGGATTCTCGCGCGTTCCTTCAATTATCCTCTCGCGAGCGCGAAAAGCGTGCGACGCTGGCCGAAAATGGGGAACTCGTCGCAATTAATAATATTGGTAATTGGTGTGCGCGTGTCGCGTGCCGGTGAACTTCAAAGGTCATCGATTGGCAGCCAGTTTAATTAACGCAATCAAATGAAAATATTAATGCACGCGCCGCCGTGTGCGTGAACACGGACGAGCAAATCGGCGACGGCGGTGGTGGCGCGAGCTCATTATGCAAAAGTTCGTCGCGCTTCCCCCACCCCGGTCCTGCAATTTCGATATTCGTTCGGATACCAAAAAGACTGGATACACGCGTTAAATCGTGGCATTGACCCAAATCGAGCGATTTCGAGTCCGATTGCGTCGCGATGTCTCGTCGAATTTTCCCGCGTTTTGAATTTCTAACGAAAAATTATTCCGGTCGAATTCTGCATGCATTTTTCTTCGTATTCCTCTTTGATCGTTAGAAAACCCTAGACGTAGAAATTTCACGATAGTACATTTCTTTAACATGCAATTTTGGAAGAAGGAAATTAATTTTTGGCGCAGAGGGTGTGGAAGACGAATTCGTGTGACACTAGGGGTGAGTGTGCAGTTAAATCACATTGTGAAAATAAAATTTGGATGTCTCTGATAATAATTAGTAGGTGGAAGTAGGAGGAAGAGTAAAAACAAAAAAAATTAGTCAGAAATTAAAAAATGGACCTTATACGACGGAAATATGATTGCATTTTATTAGAAAAGAGTTATTGATGAGAAGAGAAGAGAGGATATAATTGACACCGCGGAAAATGAATAATTATAATATTATCCGAGAAAGAATTAGTGGAGCAACTTCAAAAATCAATGTATTGAATTCTTCATACTTGGTGAACTGGCAATTCCAATACACTTTTGCAACGGAGGCCTCTCTAAAAATGAAAGCTTCATTAGGCAAAGAACAATCACATTTTATCTGCATCGATTAAAAAAAAATGCAAAGTACAAATTGCAGATTTATCAGAGTGCAAAGAATTAAATAATAAAATCTAAGACACGTACAATTTATAACTGACCATGAAAGGATTCTTCTTTACCTTCTGCAATAAACGAAATTTACTTAATTTTAATAATAAATTAAGTACGCTTCGTTTAACGATCTTGAACGCTATACATAACAATAGACACCTATTATATAAATTAAAAGCGAAACAACAGACGTGATATGAAAAATGTACAAACCCTCAACAGGGTTAACGTGAAATAAGTCATAATGAAAAAAAAAAATGAATTAATTAAGTAAAATGTGAATTAAGTAAAATGTGAATTAAGTGAAATATGAATCGTGAAAGATAAGAAATAAATTAAATAAATTAACGAAAAGGAAATGAATGATTCGAATTTAGAATATACTCGGATATCACGCTGGCACTATAGATCAAACGAAGTATCCGAGACTTATCAACGAGGAAGGATGTCTAAAAGAGTGATTGCATAGCGACGTTGTATCCGTTGCGCGTGCTCGAGGTCGAAATTATCGTGCAAGGAAGCCAGGAAAAGCGTGGCGGCCACGGAAAAATAACATTCAACGTTTAATTGAAGACCCGCCACGGCGGTGGGTGCATTAACGATAGTTTTACAGGGAGGGGGAAGGCGGGAGGGAGCGAGGGGGCGCAATCGCAATTTGAAAACGGCTTTTAATTGCGTTTTCCCTCCTTTTTTCGTCCCTCTCTCGCTCTTTCACCCTCTTTCTCTCTCTTCTTCTCTTCATCTCTCTCTCTCTCTCCTTTTTTTAAACGATCCCGCGTAGACCGTGAAATACCATTAAATTATCTCGACGATCGTTCCGAAACTAATTTCGAAAAAACGTCGGTAATAAAAGTAAAACTCCCGTGCTCAACATTTTACGTTTCGAACAATGCGTCCCATTGAAAGGAGTACTCGAACGAAACGACACTCGAGCGAAAGATCCGGAAGACTGCGATGAAATTGCGAATTGAATATGTTTTTTAATATTCATTTCGACCAGAAACCGATTACCACATCTTCTTCCCGTCTCTACTCCTCTCTCTCTCTCTCTCTCTCTCTCTCTCTTTCCTCTTTCTATGATTAAAAAGGGGAAGGAGAGGAAAAAAGATGGAAAAGAAAGAACGAAGTAGCATCTCATATTTTTTCTTCGATAAGACCCCCACTTATCGCGCATGATCACGCACGCTGCTTCGTGCCACGCCAGATATTATCGTCCCGGAAATCGTGTGGCTTTCTGCTGTTGGCTCAGTAGCAATTGGTCGTCCTTCGTCACCCTCCGCAATTGTCTCGAGGATGCGAGCCGATTCTCGCACGGTAATTGCGAATCGACGTGTCGCGTTAATGCGTCACGATCACGTCACACACACATCGACTCGAGTCTGCCATTAAAGCGTGGTCTTCCAGCCGTGGGAAAACGTGGCCACGGGCCGACCTTCGTCGAAATAAAAAAGAACGCAATAGACCGTCTACTTACAAGTCTTCGCTGCTCCTGTTTGCGTCAGGATCGTGTTAATAATAATTTCCCCATGGCGCAGCTTCCACGTCACTTCACTGTTATTCACATCACGAGCACTTCCTACACTGTTAATGTTCCGATCGATATATAATTTCGGCTATTCGTTAGTTTATCTCGCGTTTACTGCACACTCGCGTTTAACATCGAATGCTTTTTATCACTAACGAGTTAATATTTGCTATCGATTAACTGTCATGGCCGTTATGACCGTTTGCGGTTCGTTCGACGCATTATGCCTTCGAAAAATCGACGAATATTCTTTCGACTCGATGTAACGCAATTTCGTAGGATTTCACTTGTAATTTGGAGAAATAGCACGTAACGCGACGATATTAAACGAAACCGCACCTTAGAAACTTCTAGAATTCTAGACGAACGACGAAATTCACCACGATACGATATTAAACGAAACCACGCCCGACAAGCTTCTAGAAGCTTCTAGAATCTTTTCGACGAACGACGAAATTGATCACGTGACAATTTTTCGTATTGTCGTATAGATGGTGAACACGATACACTGAGGTAGCACGCTAGACCATTAAGCTGTAACATACATGAGACGCATCTTGAATATGAGACTAAGAAAATTTATTTGAGAATTAATATTTTTAAATGCTTTGAAATATGGTTGCATTGCTAAAGAAAATCAAATTACGTATTTCTAAAATCAATTTTCCATGTTTCATATGCCAGAAAAAATTCTCTTAAATATTTTATCATTCCGAATATGAGACTAAGAAAATCTATTTGAGAATTAATATTTTTAAATGCTTTAAAATACGGTTGCATTGTTAAAGAAAATCAAATGATGTATTTCTAAAATCAATTTTCCGCGTTTCATATGCCAGAAAAAATTCTCTTAAATATTCCGGAAAAATAAATTGGAATTGACTTCATACGGCACTGATCGACAGCTTCATTATCGCCATCTGGGAGTGTCAAGTTGCAGTTTTGCCTCGCGAAAAATGTTAACTAATTCTATACCCTCTCCGTATCGGTTCTATCGACTATACCCGATACGTATTAATCCCGACCATGGCTAGCCAATCATATGCGGTGTTCCTAAATCTCAGCGATCAGTGCCAGTTCTTCTCGAAAGTTCCGAATAAACCGTTGAGATCGGTCCGTTACGAGACGCGAGTTCCCTCCCCCAGTTGTTTATCATAGGAAGATCGGTTCAGAGGATCCCGACAGCGCGGGACAGAGTGCTTCTGTCTGTGATAATAACGGCACGGCCACAAGCGGGTACGCGCGCGAGCACGCTTGTCCGTGGATGCACTCGTATTGACAGTGATGCGGCGTGCAGTAACGCGCGATGCGTCAACCTACATGCATATACACAGGCCTACGTTGCGTACACGGTTCGTTGGTGAATCTCGCGAAGAGGGCGTATAACGTCCCGCGACACGTGTGTTCGTCGTGTGTGGAACGCGCGGGAGTGTAAAGGACACGGGATCACGACGCGAGGGACGGAAAGGAACGGACTCGGGGCACGGAGAACACATACTAATTAAACGCCAGCATTGTCTGCCCCGTTGTGCCGAAGACATGCTAATTACATTTCGAAGGAGAAGTCTTTTTTCGCCCCATAGACTTGGCCATGAATGAAGCGCGAATCTCGCGCCCGTTTTCTTTCTTCCACCGAGTGAAAAGGATCTCTGCGTTGCACACGCTTCATCTTTGTGTCTCTCTCGCTCTCTCGCTCGTGCCCGTCTCCTCTGAATCGAGCGACGTGTACCGGTTCGTACGTATATCCACGGTCCGACCCTAACGTCGCCATTGTATCCGAGCATACACCAACGCCAACACACGGTCTTTTTAAAAACTACTCGCTCGTTTGCGCCTTCTCCTCCTGAGAAGTTTCTTTTTTCTTCTTTCCAAGCGACTATAGGCGTCGATCACGACGACGGTAACGGTGACGGTGGTGTTGTGTTCGTGTATACGCAAGCAGAGCTCGTTTACATTTGGCTATAGGATCGAAACGAACAACGAAAACCGCGACGTTGGTAATTAGTAATCGAGGCTCGATAATCAGGTCGGTTTGTCGGGCGGCATTGTGCGCGGCCATTTTCACACCCACGCGCTTCATTCGTCGTATTTTGTTGTTATTTTGTATAAATATTTGCGGATTTTAATATGAAGTGGCCGACGGAACGCGACGGCATAATGCGAAGGTGATGCAATTTAATAGAAATTACTTGAAATTCATTAAAACTACCAGCGCGGCGTAGCATCGAAAATTAATTTATGCCCGTCGGTGAAACATGCGCCGCGATAAAATCGAAATTATTATAAATTCCGATGCCGCTGCTCTTGACCTTGTTGCATCGAATTAAATGTTTAAACGGATTTCGAGCCAGTTTCCGTTGCTGCTTCGAAAATTGAAAATCCCCTGACACGCGAATCTCATTGTTTCGACTAACCGTTTTTTCCTTCTCGTTTGTTCTATAGATTGACGAATGACGACGTAACAGAGAGCTGGCTGGTGCGCGGATACCGGGACACAAGAGGTAAGTCGAACTTCGATTAAACAATCTGGCTATTTCTTTACGTGTATATGCTGCACCTTTGACGGTGCACTCGTAATTTTCTTTGTAGTTCTCTATAGCTTGTGAAAATCGTAGATGGCGTAACAAGCGGCGAAATTAAGCGTGCTAGAAAACACGAGGAAACCGAATGCATATTGATTACGCTCGCTGAGAAGAAACGAGGGAACCGGTATTTATATTCGATGAAATATGTATCGCATTGACACGCCAGAAGAGCGAATGCAACACGTGTGAAAGATAGCTTTCAATCTGGATATTTCAATATTTTTGCCTGCTCTGCTCCTTTCGACTTTTCGACTGTTCGGCCACTTTTCAGTCGCCTCGTTAAAATCCCTCGTGCGGTCTCGCTTCTTGTTGCTTCATCTACCAATCGATGAAAAAGCTATAGCCAAATCTTGTTTTGTCAAATGTTTATATTTAAATGTACGTATAGATTTGTGATTTTATTCACTTGATCCGCAGCGTGTAAAACTCGAGCATAATACGTATTGTATCAAGAGTTTTTACTTTATCAACGATTATGTACTCGCAAATCGATAATTTACGAGTCTAACGTAATTTTATCTTCTTTACCATCGGATGACTTTTATTCTTCAATTTTTTATTCAACGTTTCATGTAAAAAATTTTTCATGAAATATTCCTTCTATAGAAAGGAACTTTTCCGTTTATTATTTTTAATTTCGTCAATTCTACTGTAATTGTTATCTGCTCGAAGACACTTTTATATCTTTTCAATCAGTTTATGTAAATGTAGTTACAAAAATTCTGAACCAATAGCATTGTCCAGGATATTTATATCTTCCGATAGCTCATAGCTCGTGAACGTTCTTGAAAAACGTTTCAATCTCGATCGGCACTTGCAAAACTACCCCTTTCCGAGCATAAGCTTACCGAGTTCTTTCTCTTCCCTCGAACGAGCTCTATCAACGTAACTTCTCTACCCGCGTTTGGACTTGCCCCGCGAGCGGAAAAGCTTCCCGCTTACCAGCTCGAACTATTCACACGAAATATCACGCAATGTAAACGACGAGACAAAGTCTCCGGCGAAGACGGATACCGTGGACGAAAGTTCCGTGGCCGTAGGCCGCCGTGGCATCCGGCAAAGGTCTGATTCGACCAGTGCATTTTAATTCCTCCCCGTTGGCTCTCCGCCGTTCTTTTTTAACTTTTATACATCACCGGCAGGATTATGCAAGCAAAGAGCCGAGGTCTTTCCATGACGCGAGCGAATGCTTAGAATTTAAAATGCATTTCATATCGTTATGCTCTCCGCTTTCTCTTTCTCATCGCGCTCTTCTTTTGCCGGGCACCGTCTCTCGCTTCTTCGTACATCGCGCGCGGCCCGTCTCCCTTTTTCCACCCTCTTTCTCTCAACCCACACCCCCTCTTGTACCGTATCTGTTTCCCTCCCTCTCTCTCTCCTCCACCTCTTTCTCCTACTCCTCTCTGTCTTCGTTCTACTCCTCTTTCCAAGAATCAGTCCTCCTGCCCGCTCGTTCAACAGACGGCATATATGTCTTTATGAACGGTATGTGGAGTAGACAAGTGCATTAAAACCTCGGGCGTTAGTTCAAGCTTCAAGAGGGAGGAGGATGACTGGGTTGTAGGAGGGTAGATGGAGGGCTCAGGAGGACACACAAAGGAATGCAAAGTAAGAACCACGACCTCCGCCAACCCCCTTCTCGCGGCTACCCCTCCATTCCGCGCTTCATCCGGCCTCATCCTCGGCAACCTGCTCCTCCACCTCCTACGTCTCCACCTCCTACGTCTCTGCCTCCTTCTTCAGCGTATCGTTCTCCTCTGCCGGAGGTTACAACGCATTATCATACAAGGCGGTCCTCTCCTCGCCTTCCCTTAATTGTTTTCCACCCCGTTCTCCTCTTCTCTCTCTCCCTCTGGCCCCTCTCCTTCGCACCGCGGTCGTCTTCCACCTCGCGCCCTCCAACGTTCCCGGACAGCCGTGCCCCTCGTCGCGCAGCGATCACCTGCTGAAACGACCAAACGACGCGGAAAGAGTGTTTCCCTTTGCCTTGGATGGAGACACTCGTCACGGATCCACGAGTGGTCACTCGTCGGGCGCCGAATTCCACGCCTTCGAGCGCGATCATCCACGATTCTTCGACATCAAAGGCGGCCCCCTGGAACACTTCGTGTCCCCGGCTGTGAAGCCTGTGTTACCGAGAGGAGCTCGTCAGCCCAACCGGGCCAGGGTTTGTGCCCTCTACCCCACCTGCTACCCCTGCTCCTCGCAGAAATAAGAATCAGTTTGCTGAATTTCGAACGAGCTTCATCCGACTCCCCGAAGGATTCTTTTGAGCGTCACTGATTAAAGGAGCGACGAGGTGTCGAAGGATCTCCAATTATCGCGTCACTTCTTTCCTTTGCGAGGTACGCGTTGCGAGAGAGAACCTGGTCTTTTATCCACAAATATATCGTCGTTTGTTTGTCTATTTAGCACATGGACTTTAACGAATTCCGTATATCTTGCGTGTAAAGTCTGAATACTCGAGTTTCCGTTCTGTCTTGTGAATTTTTATTCTATTAATTGTAGCTTGGTTTTTAGAATTTTTCTCAGAATTCTCTTGCAGTCGTTGTCAATAAGGGGACTGGGGGTCGACAATTTTAAATAATTCCCATATATAGAAAATATCTATCCTCTTTTTTCGTTTCTGGCGTTCCACTCTGTCTTATCAAAATGCTATTCTTTTTCTCGACAGTCATTTATTCGTGCCACGCCACTTAATGCTAGATTCTCAAAGGAAACTAGAGAACTATGTTATTACTATATATTGAGTTCGCGCTTTTAGTATAAGTTTTGTGGATGTGTTAATAGCTGTAACTATCACGTAGCGAATAATTTGATTTCGAGATTTCTCAGAAATTTCTTCGCCTTCACTCGTTCCATCAAAATTTCACTGGTGCCCTATTCAGTATAGGCTAGAGGAGGAAGCAGATGCTAGTACTTCACGCTGTCACCATAGCATCGAGGGTATCGAGGATTTTACGAATATGGCTGTTCATTTAATTTAAACGTTACAATTAATTGCAGCATGACCGGTGGCGCCCCTCTAGCGGCGAGTCTAATGCCGGTCATCGGTGACAGCCATGGCAGAGCGCAGGAGGCAAACGGGTTCCCTCGGCCCGTCCATGTTCCCATTCCCGCGCGCGTATATTTTTTCCTCTCGCGACGCGTTTCATTCGCGTTTCGCTCACCGATTACAATTTGTCGGCAAGTTGTTTGCCGCGCCAATTTATATTCGCGCAGCGGCCAGCACGTACGCGTTCTCCGCTAACGTTCGGTTGCTAGGAGACGGACCGGGCCGCGGTCTGCAATTGAAATTAATTTGGTTGACTTTTTGAAAGTGAGCACGGACAATGGTTCGCGCGGAACCCGAGATGCTTCTCGCTATAAATCCGGCGAAATTTCGTTCGATCTCGTTCGCATTTCCACGCGACCCCGCCACGGTTCCGCGATTTAAGGAATATTTCATCGACGAACAAGGGGGAAGGAAAAATGGTAGAAATCGGAGGAAGGAAGCTGGCATTGGGAAATTATTCGACGATAGGTTTATCGATGGAACATGGGTGGTTCCGGCCTGCCTGCTTCGTGCGTAAAGTGTCTATTTGCGGATAATTCCGTGTTGTTTATCTATGTAAATAAATGTGGTGTTTGGGTACACTGTTTATTTCCGTAACGCGATGGAGAATCGAATTGTGGCTCTGTCCTGATGGGGATAATATGTCCCGGGTGTGGTTGTATTAGGCGTAGGTTCGACAGCTTCGTGGAGAAGATTATCCAAGGCGTTCTATTGATAAAACGAATACGATTTGATACGGGGCTTAAAAAATTCGAACAGAGTGACGTGGATCAGAATTACACGATTAGTTACGTTCAACATTCGATGTAATATACGGTTGCAGTAATATAAATAGGAATAATTGTTCCGTAGGAATTCAATTCTGTATTTGTTTAGGGGATAATGTTTCTCTAGCGTATTATCTAATTAGCGCGCAATTAGTGTACAATTATAATTATACGTAGTTATAATAATTTATGAAATAATTACGTTTAATCGTGCTTCTACAGTTATTGTCTAATTATTACTTTTAGTATCACGACATATTCCAGAATATGGAATACTCTTCGCGCAATGAATTCAAAAATAATTCTCATTTAATCATTTATCGTTATCTAACATCGGATTTTAACGTTAGTTTTGGTGTCTGATTACAAATTCTTACGTACACACGTAGAACGTGCATGCTCGGCGTGACTGGGACGAACAGATCCAAGGAAATCTCGAATACGCCATCAAAGCACCCCATTCCCACGTGACACACCGGTGAAGTTCGCAAAGATCACGAAGCGGCGCGATTACTCAAAGTTGCCCGAGTTGCGGAACAACTTGGCGTCCGAGATCGACATCTGCTTAAGATGAAACGGTTCACCCTCGCTTAACCCCGACGGATGTGACATTTCTCGAACTCTCGTTAAGGATTCCGCGCCAGAGACTCGCGCGCGTAGCAGTCGTCGAACTCGATTAGCATCCCTATTCTCGATGGCGTCTTGGCGCTGCAGCGCCTCTTCCGGCGAGCTCGCGAGATAAAAGGCTACCGGAACGGGGTTAACGAATTAATGAAATTCATAACGGCGGTAACAGCGAGGAAGCGGCGCGAAATTCGAACAGGCGTGTTTTCAAAAGTGACAATTCGCCACGCGGCCGAGTTCACAAACACTTTCTTTCATCGAGTTTACGGCCGTGCACCGGCAGCCCGTTGTAACGCAATTACAAAGCCGTAACATACTAATTCGGTTAATTCCAAATTATCACCCCTGATTTTACGCGTCGTCGAGCATCGTTAACGCGGCGACCTCGCGCGCGCGAGAGCGAGAGAGAGAGATAAAGAGAGGGGGTGAGTGCGGGGGCGATAAAAGCGATTCGCGTCGATTATGCATAT